AGTTTTCCAATCTGATTGGCTCATTGTCTGGCACTATATCAGACAATGTTTCACTGCTATTCATAAAATTTTATAGTGATGTGTCAGTGTTTCATTACTATTCATAAGATTTTCAGTGACCAATTTTTACAGAAATGTATGGCCCCATCCTTCTTCCTAGTCTGTCTTAGTCTGGCAGTGCCACAGTAATCTGTCTGCCATGGCTGACCCTACTGGTATTTGAAATACCAGTGTCATAGCTTCTAGCCTCAGAGTAATACATAAGCCACCATAGTAGGGCAAACTGACAGATGAATGGTGGAAAAATCATTATAGCTAACATTTATTGAATACTCATGTTTTGCTAATGTGTTATACTGTAATATAAGTAATTCATCTTGAGTAATCCTGAAAATTATATTACCCAGTACCATTGAGTCAATTACGACCCATAGCAACCACCATTGGGTTTCAAAGGCTGTAAATCCTTCGTGAAGTAGATTGTGTCATCATCATTCCACAGGGCAGCTGGTGAGTTTGAACTATTGACCTTCTGGTTAGCAGCCAAATGCCTTATCCACTACATTACCAGAGATCATTGAAAGTTATATTAGAAGAATAATTTCTTTATTTCATAAAGATATAGGAGCTCTGGTAGCATAGTGGCTAAAGCACTTGACTGCTAACCAGAAGTCTGGAGGTTCAAACCCACCAGCCACTCCTCGGAAGGAAGGTTGGGCAATCCTACTTCCTTAGTGATACTGCCTCGGAAACCCAAGAAGGGGTCGCTATGAGTCGGGGCCGACTCGACGGCACATAACAACAACAACAACAACATAAAGATATATGAATAACTAGCTACTTTATATGCCAAATACTCTGTCAACCTACTGATGGAATAAATACATCAGTAAATAAAAGCACTGTCCTTAAGATATTTTAATTCTAATGGGATAGATAAATACCCCCATTTTACAGATGGAGAAACTAAAACTCAGATCACATAGGATCTTAGCATCCAAAACGTATTTGAATCTTGATTTCCCTGCACTTGTGATCCTAACAACCACATACTCTGGTAGCTTAGTGCCTAAGGCACTTGACTGCTAACCAGAAGGCTAGCAGTTCAAACCCACCAGCCACTCCTCGGAAAGAAGTTTGGGCGATCTACTTCTGTAGTGATACCACCTCGGAAACCCAAGAAGGGGTTGCTATGAGTCAGGTCCAACTCAATGGCACATAACAACAACAACAACATAGGAAAAAAAAAGAGAAAAAAACATATATTCAAACCATTACAATTATGAGGAAGATGCAAACATTGAAATAATCATTACTAATAGATGTAGATATAGATAGATAGATAGATAAAACATATATTCAAACCATTACAATTATGAGGAAGATGCAAACATTGAAATAATCATTACTAATAGATGTAGATATAGATAGATAGATAGATAGATAGAGATATTTGTTGCCTGATTACTTGATACCAAGCACTTGAAGTCATTTAACTTCGCAATAGCCTTCTAAGACAGGTAGTAATATCTCCATCATATTTTACACTTGAGGAACCCACACTTAACTACCACAACATGTGACCACTCATGAGTAATTTTTTTTTTTTATAGTTGTAAGCAATTACTATTTACATTACTTTCTGCTAAAACACTGGAATTATGGATTAAATAGTTGATTTTCTAGAGGAATATGAATTATCAAATTCAATGTAAACAGATATTTACATGCCACATAATTAAAGAAAACAGAAAAAAATAAAAACACTGTCAAATAATTACTACTACTATGATGTCACATCTAAATGACTTTTTGGATGTCCTATCAAAGTTCCAAGCAATACATAATTCCCTATAATTAAATTGATACATTATAGAAGATACCAAACTATTATCCATCATAATGATGCTAAATCTGTGAAAGGCATAAATAATCAAACCAATCAACTTACTAATAAAAAAGCACAAAAATAAGTTCAACAACTTCATAAACTGCAGGCAATCTCAGTTTGAATATCGATACAAATATCATAAATAAAAACATTACAAATCAATTTTGATTTGAAGAGACCACTAAGCCATGCTCACATCAGGGTTTCTCTAAGGCAAGGTTAATTAAACCTTTCTGGATTCAAGCAATAAGTACCTCAACAAACAAACATGTTGCCAACTCTTTAATCTAGCAATTTTAGTTCTGTGTTGTTCATCAAGAACAAGTCAGAAGGTGTTAAAAGAAAAACAAAGATGTTTATTGTAGTGTTGTTTAAAATAGTGAACATTGCTAGTACTTGTATAAGAAAAAAATTGTTCAAAACGTATCTTACCTTTAGTAATTATAATCTGTAGCAGAATGTTAAACAAGATACGAGTAGTATAAGCAAAGTACTTTGTTATTTAAAAGAAAAAAAAAAAAATGTAGCTAGCTATACCAATAAGGGAGGGAGCTCTGGTAGCATAGCACCTAAGGCACTTGATTGCTAACCAGAAGGCTGGCAGTTCAAACCCACCAGCCACTCCTGGCAAGAATGATTGGGCAATCTACTTTTTTAGAGATACCGCCTCAGAAACCCAAGGAAGCCTCGCTATGAATCGAATGGACTCGACGGCAGTGGGTTTTTGTTGTTGTTGTTGAATACCACTAAGGAAGGAGCAGTGGTGGCATAGCGATTAAGGCATTTTCCTGCTAACCAAGAGGTCAGGGGTTTAAACCCACCAGCGCTCTGCTTGGAAGGAAGGGCAGTCTGCTTCCGCATAGATTTACCATTGGAAACCCAGTGGGGGTCGTTATGAGTTGCAATCAACTCAATGGCAGTGAGTTCCTTTGTTTATTTTTTGATTTTACACCAGTATGCAGTGATTGGCTCAGATATAGCAAAGATGGTGAGGCTGGCTCAGGACCGGGCAGTGTTTCATTCTGTTGAACAGAGTCACTATGAGTCGGAGGCCACCTCACGGCATCTAACACCACCACCATCAATAAGGAAATACTTCTCTGAAGAGGAAGAATTTAGGGAGAGTCTCAGGTTTAGCAAGGTTTAAAAGATATGATTGGAAACACAGTGACATGTGTTTCTGGGTCAGAAGCTATGTAAGGAAGTAGTGAGAAATAAAATTGAAAAAATAGGCTGTGTCCAGAGCATAGAGTGCATTAAAAATGCATAGTAATAAATAAATCAGTGGAACCGAACTGAAAGCTTGAAACAGATTCAAGTATGTGGGAACCAATTACACGACAAAAGCAGCATTTCAAATATTGTGGGGAAAAGCTTTCATTTATTTAATAAAGCTGAAATAGTTAGATTCCTTATCTTACACCAGAAACATAAACGTAGTCTATAGTTGAACGATCCAAACACTTTAAAATAGTTAAAAATGCAGTAAGAACTATTGCAGAAAATACCAGCATGAACCTAGACTTAGGAATGATTTTCTAAATAAAAAATCCAGAAATCTAATGGAAACTACAGACATGTTTGTTTCTCACAAAAAAGTTTATAAATTGTATCACAGATGCCATCATAAAATAGCAATACACTAGAGAAGAATATTTCTGAGAAATAAAATCATAACGTCCTAGTATATTAAAAAACTCTAAGAAATTAATTTAAAAAGATGCAAACAACTACAAAGAAAAATGAGAAAAATAGCATAAGGTGACAATTCCCAGAATAGCAGATGCATACAGCTAATAAGATTATGAAAAGATATTCAACTTTCTTAGAGTTGAGTGAAATATTAATTAAAATAGCAACAAAACATCATTTTTTATCTATCAATACTGACAAATATTAAACAGATTTATCACATGAAATGCTGGCAAGGATATGGGAGAACAATCTCATACATTACTAATAGGTGTGGGAACTGCTACCATATTATTGCAAACAATCTGGCAGTACTTATTAAAATGAAAAATGTATATGCCCTTTGATCCATCAATCCCAGTTTTGTGACTGTCTGCCACACAAAATAAAAGCAATATTACATGATATATGTGCATGGTGTTTATAGAAGTTTTTTTTTTTTTTTTTTTTTAACTGGCAAAAAAAGGAAAAAGAAAAAAATGGAAACTGGAACTGTACTGAATGCCTAAGAGGGTGGTCAATTAAATTCTGATATATTCACTCTACATAATAGAATAATCTTTATGTACTGTCCAAAATAAGTCAGGACACTATTTAAGGGATTTAATCTTTTAATAATAAAATAGTAAGTACACTAGTTATACATATATATATATTTAAGAAATCTATGTGTATGTGTATATGTGTATCATAGAGACAAAGTGGAAGTTACATATAAACTCTCTTTGTGGCAGAAAGAAGAGATTTGCAGGGGTGGGGGCCCAAATGTTTCTTAATGTATTTAAATCATCAGTCTTTGACTTCTTAAAAGCAGCACACATTACTTCATAATTTCTCCAAATTACTTTGTCATTTGGGAGCTCTGGTAGTGAAGTGCCTAAGGCATTTGACTCCTAACCAGAGGGCTGGTGGTTCAAATCCACCAGCCACTCCTCGGAAGGAAGGTTGGGCAATCTACTTCCGTAGTGATGTCGACTCGGAAACCCAAGGAGGGGTCGCGATGAATCGGGTCTGGCTTGACGGCACACAATAACAAGAACACGTTGTCATTTAAAATTTCTAATACAATTTTTTCAAAGTGATACTGCCTCGGAAACCCAAGGAGGGGTCGCTATGAGTCGGGTCCGACTCGACGGCTCATAACAACTACAACAACAACAATATATTAAAATGTACAAAGTACTGTCTCTGAATTGCATTCCCTGAAATATGAAAGAAAAGGAAACCATCCCCTTGTAATGTGATCACTTACCAGACAATCCACATAGAAAGTGAAATATATCAACCAGCACATGGTACTTAATTGGGATTACATTTTATGGCACCCAGCCTATTAAGTGCTTAAATTACCAGATAAAAGAATCTATGTTCCTAATAGTGGAAAGTGTATTAACAGTATTTTTGTTCCCTATTGTAGCCCCGTTCCAACAATCACATGGATGAAGGTTAATGGTTATATTCCTAGTAAAGCACGTCTGCGGAAATCTCAGGCAGTGCTGGAGATACCCAACGTGCAGCTGGATGATGCAGGCATATATGAGTGCAAAGCTGAAAATTCACGTGGAAAAAATTCCTTTCGTGGACAATTACAAGTATACAGTAAGTGTTCTTGGCATAGTATGATGCTGTAGTCCCTAGGGTGAAAATGCAAATGCAAATTAATTCTAAGTAAATATTGTCTGTTAAATACATAAAATACAAGTAATAATTTACAAACTGACATTTTTTAATTTTATGGCATCTTGTAAAGCATGCGAAATAGAGAAATGCTTTAAATTAACAATGAATGGGAATTATCAGAGTCTTTGTTGCTATGAGTGGGAATCTACTCAATGGCAGCAGGTTTGTTTTTTGGTTTGCACAGCATAGAGTGCTTATGTCTCTAAAAAATTAGATATTTTCCTGGCATCAAATGAATCTTCTGATGAGTCAAAAATATTGGAAGTATTTTGAACATATTCAAGTCCTTGGCCTAAATTAGGGATACACAAGCTATTGCCCAAGGGCCGTTTCCTGCCTAGCTTCCTGTTTTTGTAAATAAAATGTTATTGGAACACCGCCACACATCTACATGGCATCTATATTGGCTTTTGTGCTGCAATGGCAAGATTGAATAGTTGAGAAAGAAACCAGCTGGCTCATAAAGCCTAAAATATTTACTTTTTGGTCCTTTACAAAAAAAAAAATTGCTGACTCTTAGCCTAAATTAATATGCCCATATGTCAAATAGCTTCTATGGCCTGCAAGTGTTTATATTGTCCCCAAAATGCCAAAGAGCTAACCATGTTGTGTTTAAGAATTGAGAAAATATGGTTCAAAAATATCTGCAATCTCATCTTTACTTCTGAGGATCACAGATTGCATGCGCTTTTCCCACTTGTTTTTGTACTATTCACTAACCGTGAATAGTACTATATCCATTTCCCAGATGAGAACACTAAAAAGAGAGGAATATAGTAAGCCAGAACATTCATATAAGCAAATACAGATGTTGATTTTACCAAGTAAATATGACTATCACTATATCTCATGATCAGTTCTCCTAAAAAGTACAATGTCCAGTACAGGGACTCTTAAAGAGTATTTTGAAAAGCTCATATCAGAATTCAATCTTTCTTTATTTATTTCTTGTAACTCCTTAGGAATCCATCACTCCGACCAAATTTACTATGCCATATACATTATACTTATTCATTCATTTATTCATTTAATATTTAGTAAGTGCCTACTACTGGGATTAGGAGCTCTGGTAGCATAGTGCCTAAGGCACTTGACTGCTAACCAGAGGGCTAGTGGTTCAAACCCACCAGGCACTCCTCAGAAGGAAGATTGGGCAATCTACTTCCGTAGTGATACTGCCTCAGAAACCCAAGAAGGAGTCACTATGAGTTGGGGCCGACTCGATGGCACATAACAATATAACTGGGATTACTGCTAGCAAGAGAGCTTTGAAGGAAGTTATGTTCCATCAGATTAGGTAAAAAAGCATACCTTACATTACAGCTGAACATGCTATGTTCTGTGATAAATGCACCTGCAAAGTATTATGTGAACAGAGTGTACTACATTCTACTCCTGTGACTCAAGGAAAGTTTTATGAAGATCTTTACATTTAAGGCTAAACAAGGTAAATGCACCCTGAAAGAAAGTGACAAAGAATCATTTAAATTTGTTTATGATTGTGGCACTAGCATACATGTACACATTTCGCTAATCTTAAACCATCAATAATATATTTGGATGAAATCCACAAAGAAAACTGTTCACAATTCCTTGAAGCAAATCAATAGGCAGGCTTTTGGACAATAAATAAGAAACCTGTTGCCATCAAGTTGATTCTGATTCGTAAGAACCATGCAGGACAAACTAGGATCTTTACAGAAAGGATCTCTGGTGATATATAATGGATAAGGTATTTGGCTGCTAACCAGAAGTTCAGAGGTTCAAACCCACCAGCCACTCTATGAGAGAAAGATGAAGCAGCCTATTTCTATAAAGAGTTACAGCCTTGGATACTCAATGGGGGTCTCTATGAGTCAGAACTCACTCCATGTCAGTGGGTTAGGTTAGATTAGGTTAAGTTAGTTTAGATTAAATCTTTGCAGAAGAAGACTGCCACATCTTTTCTCTTGAGTGGCTGGTGGATTTAAACCACCAATCTTTTAGTTATCAGGTGAGTGTGTCACCACTGTGCCATCAGAGCTCCTTTTCCTAATCATAGGGGAAGTCAACGATGCTTCTGTACCTCAATGGAAAAATGATTAACATTCAAATACATTATGTTAGTTTAATCTCACAGTAACAAAGTGAACTATTACTAGTTCCTCTATACAGCTTAGTATTTGATAATGGAAAGCAAGAGCTCAACCATAGCTTTACTACTTAAAACCATTTAAAAAAAAAAATGTAAGGAGTTTGTGTTACATTTAGATCCTTGATGGAAAGTTTCATATCTCTGTGTGTCTTGACAAATGGCCCACCTCTAAATGAGAATTAGATTGGGGTCAGAGGTGCCTGCAAAGCTTCCCACCCCATTCCAGCTATTCCATTCATAGGTAGTAATTAATGATTATTACAAGAAAAGTAGGTTTAAAAAAAAAAAAAAAAAACTTTCATTCAATATTACTGGTGTGCCCTCTGGTGGGAGGGTATGCTAATAAGTAGCAATGTGTGGACCCTCTTTGTGGTGCCCATTTAGTTTTACACTGTGAGCAAGCTGGGTGAAGACAAACTTGCCCACAACATTCATCATTTTTAAGAGAAAAATGATCTTAAAGTTGCCCAGGAAAAGAAATGGGCAATTAGCTACTTGGTATGTGTTTCTGCCAATTTAAGGAAGGTATCTTAAAAACATGTAACTTCTTACTGTCAGGCTCCATCAGGTGCCATGTAAGTTGATTTGCCCTATAGACTCAGTTTATGCTGCCCCAGGGCAATTAGGAATAGAACGCTATTTCAGTTACAAGAGTATCTCAGGTATTACATGGTCACTATACTTTCCTACTTTGAAAATGTTTGTGCTTGATTAGAGAGCTTTTCTCCTTGTCATACTCTCTGAATCTTGGCCAACATTTCTACCTGCCTGGCAATAGTTATAGTTATGGGATGGCATAATGCATGAATATTCCTTGGCTTTCGTGGTTTATATTTAGAATCATCCTTCAGTGGAATGATTTCTGTTGGAAACTATAGCGGCCTAGTGTCCTACAGGAGGAAGTGGAGGCTTACATTTTCAGTCAGATGATCAATATTTACAGAGAACAGAATATTTCCTGTAGTCAGTCCCCCACCCCATAGAAGTGTAATTATGGGAATGTTTTTTTCCCTGCTTAGCTCTTACACTCAAAAGATGAGCAAGAGCTCTAAGGTAGCCTTTCTAGACCCGTGTTTCCCACACACCCCCCCAAAGGCATTACAAAAGTGTACGCTAAAGTAATTGGTAGGCGTAAATTTAAGCCACAATTATTATTTTTATGACTCAGCATCTGTGTTGTAAACATGATAAAACAGAATGAAGCAAAATAAATAAAGTGGTGCAAGGTAGTTAAATACATAAAAAATAAGGTGAATTTACAAGTTTAAGTTAACATATATAGGTGTAAAAGACCATATTTATAAAAATGAAAACAAAATGTAGCAAAAAGAAAACACAAAACTTTGGAAATACTTTGAACCTTAGAGTAAAATGCATATAGATTGTATTGAACCTATTTTTTGTTTATAAAATAAAGTAGTTTTGTAGGTGAAATAACTTATTAATTACTTCTGTCCCCTTTAGTTTTTGATGATTGATTAAAAAAAAGGAAAAATTTAGTTTTAACTAGCTAATCAGACAGTATGTCTTTATATATTCCACATAAATTGAATACTTCCTCTTAAGGTTCTAAATTAAAAAGAAAAAAAAATATGAGAGAAAAAAAGGAAGAGGGGCAGATGGAAAAGTGGAGAAAGGGAGAAAGAGAAAAAGAGAGAAAGATTAAATATCAAACAACTTTAAGCCATTTTATGTTATAGGAAGCTCCCACAATGGAAGGTTTTATTTGTACAGAGAAAAAAAAATGTGTTACATAAATATGGGGAGCTCTGGTAGCATAGTGCCTAAAGCACTTGACTGCTAACCAGAAAGCTGGTGGTTCAAATCCACCAGCCACTCCTCGGAAGGAAGATGGGGCACACTTCCGTAGTGATACTGCCTCGGAAACCCAAGGAGGGGTTGCTATGAGTCAGGTCTGACTCAATGGCACATAACAACAACAACACATAAATATGCTTAATCTATGAGTTTTAGCTACATATCCTGTGCCTAAACCCAACGAGGGGTCGCTATGAGTCAGGGCTGACTCGACGGCACATAACAACAACAACAACAACCATCTAATGTACCAAACTAATAGCAAGGATATCTCCTTGAGGACTAAGGTGCGCCTGACACAAGCCATGATATTTCCAATCACCTTGTATGCATGTGAGAGCTGGACAATGAATAAGGAAGACAGAAGAAGAGTTGATGCTTTTGAGTTGTGGTGCTGGCAAAGAATGCTGAAAGTACCATGGACTGCTAAAATAACTAACAGATCTGTACTGGAGGAAGTGCAGCCAGAATGCTCCTTGGAAGCAAGAATGGCCAGACTTCATCTCACCTATTTTGGTCATGTTGTCAGAAGGGACCATTCCCTGGAGAAGAATGTCATGCTTGGTAGGGTGGAGGGTCAACGAAAGAGGGGGAGGCCTTCAACAAGATGGATTGACATGGTGGTGGCGATGATGGTCTCAGGTATAGCAGGGATTGTGGGGCTGGCGTGGGATTGGGCAGTGTTTCGTTCTGCTGTGCATGGGGTTGCTATGAGTTGGAAATGACTCAACGGCACTTAATAACAACAACAACAACCATCTAATTAGATCTGAAGCACTTACTGATGATTATAGACTATAGTCTTCAGTATGTGTTACGCTTCAACATAAAAGAAAAAAAATCCTTGCAACTGGACCAATAAGCAGCATCATTATAAATGGAGAGAAGATTGAAGTTGTAAAGGGTAACATTTCACTTGGATTCACAACCAACACCCATGGAAGCCCTGAAAACCAAACCCACTGCC